CCTTCCCTGGGAGAACCCCCTCCCCTGCTGGTGCCACGGCCGCCCCGGGGAGCGCCTGACTCGCAGCCTGCCTCATGGGTCGCGCCCAGGGAGGCTCGCTGCGGTCATCGTCCATGGGCACACAGACCGAAGGCGTCAGTGGCCTTCAGCTACGTTTAGTGTGTTTTTGGAGCCCAGACAGAACCCTTCAGGGAAGTAACTAGGGACAGCCACGGCTGGCCCCCTCCCCAGATTCACTGCCTGGGGTGGCCCCCACGCTGGGGTGATGGGAGCGCCCGCTGAGTGCCGGGGCCTGGGCTCAGGGCTCATCTGCATATTTACTATCCCTGGGAGATGACAGTGTCTTCCCCATTCCGTCCCTGAGAAAACCAAAGCTTAAAAGTTGTGAGACCCAGGGCTGTGGAGCAGTCACTGGCAACCCTAACCCTGACCCTAATCCCCCAGCACATGGGCCTGCTACACGTGGCCCTTCTGCAGCTCGGCTAAGGCCCGTTTTCCTCCCAGATGTCTCTCACGTCTTCCCGGAGTTCCCGGCGCCCGACCTGGGCAGCATCCTGCTGCAGGAGAGCATCACGCTGCACGATGTCAAGGCCCTGCAGCTGGTCTACCGGCGGCACTGCGAGGTGACTGCCCTCCCCCTGCCCCGCCCGGGGAGACCCTGGGGTCCCCCCAGGGCCGGGGTTGGAGAGCCGAGCGAGCCTGCCCTCCCCCCACAACCCGGTGAGGCGGTCAGCCTCCCGCGTCGCCAGAACCGCCAAACTCTCCAACATCACCAGGTGTCCCTGGGTGACCTGGAGGAGGAGGAAGAGGCGGGAGCGGCCCCCTGCTTCCTCTCGCCAAGTAGATAGAATCTCCCCCCTCTAAACCGTGGCACGTCCATCCCCTCTTGGGGTCTCTCTCTGGATTTCAGGGGACCCCACTGCAGCTCTCCACGCTGCCCGCTTGGCATGTCCCGACAACACGTGATAGGCACACTTTTTAACACGCACACCCGTGAGGTCGACGGCTGTGTTTATTCGCAGGCAACTTTAGACGTCGTGGTGAACCTCCAGTTTCACTACATTGAGAAGCTGTGGCTTTCCTTCTGGAACTCAAAAGCCTCCTCGGGCGATGGCCCTGCCTCCCTACCTGCCAGGTAACTGCCCTCGCCCTGCCCCCGCCCCCAGCGGCCACGGAGCCACCAGCTCATTTCCCAGGACCCCGGCGCTAACCTGCAGGCTGCGGACACCCACACTGTGACCCACAGACAAATGCGTCCCCTTTCCAAGAATCGGCGCTCAGAGCCCCCTTCTGTGTGTGTGTGTGTGTGTGTGTTTGTGTGTGTGTGTGTGTATGTGGTTTCCACACTGACTGTGTTGCCCATTCCCTTGCTTCAGCACGAGACACTGTAGAGGGGACCCCATGCCGGCCCAAATAGGGGACGTGTCATCCCCGGCCACAGGCAGGGTAGGGGGTGGCGCGGGCCCACTGGGGAATGAGAGGTGGGGCGAGGTCTGTCCCGGGGGCCCTCTGCCACCTTGCGGGCCGCGGCTCACCCCGGCTGTCCCATCCCCCACAGCGACGGGGAACCTGAAGGCGCCGTCCTCCCGAAGGACAAGCTGGTGTCTCTGTGTAAATGCGAGCCCATTCTCAAGTGGATGAGGAACTGCGACCACATCCTGTACCAGGCCCTGGTGGAGATCCTCATCCCCGACGTGCTGCGGCCGGTGCCCAGTAAGCAGCTCTGTGGGCTGCTGTGCCCCTCCGGCACCCCTGTGCTTTCCCTGCCCCGCCCCCAGAACAAGGCCAAGCAGAGGGCCAGCTCGTGGCTCTGGGGAGGCCCGTCACCCTTGGGTCACCGCCCGCCAGCACTGGCCCGGGCTTTGGCGTGCTCGGTGCTGCGGGGCTCCCAGTGACACTCCAGTCTCCAAGTTCCTCTGGGGCCCGGGATGCCCCCCAGGAGATCCCCAGAGTGGGGCCGAGGTCACGGGATAGCCCTACCCCTCCCTGTCTGCACGTTTGCTGAAAGCCCTGGGAGGGTCTCGACCCGCTGTGCCCCTCTGCCTCCAGGGCCTCCCCGCAGGGGGCATGCCCTGCCAGCCCCTTATAGGCTCTCCCTTGCAGTCCCCAGGGTCCTGAGGGTAGAAGCCCCGGAGTGAGGATGCTGGGCCCTGAGGCCTCGCGCTTAAGGAATGACTGCGGGGCGGGGGGGGGGGGCATGGGTACACCTGGTGGTGACCCATCGGTTTTTGTGCCCTTTGGCACGACGGAAACTTCGGTCTTTCTTAATGAACTGGTCTGCTGCTTTTGTGCCACAAAATGGGAAACAGCCAAACTGTTGCGCTTCTCCTTTGGGCTTGCCCGCCCCGGAGCCGTTCACCGCAATGCGCAGTTAGAGTCTCCGTGTTCAGGTTTGGGTCGGGGTATATTTGCTTTTACGTTTTTGAAGTTTTTTCTTTTTAAACAGTCTGATTTGTTTCTTATTTGCCAGCCACCTCACAATAAACTCGGAAGTTGGTGGAAGATCTGTACGTGCATGTGTGTGGGTCAGGGCTTCTGAGCACTGTGGACTGTTCTCTGTAATGGGGGGCCGTCCTGGGCACTACGGGGGGGGTTGAGCCCAGCCCCCACCCGCTCGATGCTGGAGCTTCCCCCACTGGGACGACCACAGATGTCTGTACACACCCCCCAGTGTCCCCGGGGGCAGAGTCGCGCTGGGTGAGGGGACCACTAAGGCAGGAGGCAGAGGAACAGAGATGAAGGCACTGGGTGGCCCCAATTCTCACCCGGCGCCTCCCTCACTAAATGCCCTAGGTTCTCCCTGGTCCCTCGTCCATGTGTGCTCAGCCACCTCTTTCTCTTGCTCCAACAGCTTCATTGCATGTGCGCCTCTTCCATTCCTGCTGATCCTGATGGGGATCAGGACTGCCTTTCTCACTGTGTCATGGCTTGTGTCCCCCAGGTACCTTGACACAGGCCATCCGTAATTTTGCCAAGAGCTTGGAAGGCTGGTTGACGAACGCCATGAGAGACTTCCCACAGCAGGTCATCCAGACCAAGGTAACCGCTCCGCTCTGGGGGGCAGCAGGGAAGGGCTCAGGGAGGGGCTCTTGGCCCTGTGCCCAGGCAAAGCAGGCCGCTCCCAAGGGTCCTGAGGACCATGAGTCCCCCGCCCCCAGGAAGCCTCGAGGATGCTGGCGATGTGGGACGGACACTCGCAGGGAGGGGCACGACAGAAGCTGTCATTTGCTGTGATGCATTTGGGTGGATTCAAAACAGATAGAATGTTTCTGTGCACCTCACGGGCGGGAGGGTTTAATCTCCTTGCTGTCACCCTTACTGCCAATAGTCTTGGCCGCAAAGCAGAATTTAAAATGTAGAGAGCGGGCCTCCGTGCGCAGAAGAGAGTGACGGCTGCTCTCGCAAGCGCCACTTAGAGACCTGCGCACAGGTGAGGCCGCGCTCCGAGCATCGGGCCGCCCTGACCGCGGTCTGGAACAATCTGTTCGACCAGTGACTCAAACCTCAGGGTGTGGGGCGCCTGGGGCTCAGTCGGCTGAGCGTCTGCCTTCAGCTCAGCTCCTGATCCCAGGGTCCTGGGATCGAGCCCCGCGTCGGGCTCCCTGCACAGCGGAGAGCCTGCTTCTCCCTCTGCCTGCCGCTCCCCCTGCTTATGCACACACGCGCTCCCTCTCTAATAAATAAATTAAATCTTAACAACAAAAAAAAGAAACATAGCCATGCTTATTAAAAAAACAAAAAAACCTCAGGGTGCATAGGAGTTCCCAAAGTAGTGGGTAAAATCGCAGATTCCCAGGCCCCAGCCCCACCAAGCTTGATCCAGTGGCACCCAGGGATCCGTATTCCCCCGCCCTGGCCGCTCCAGAGAGCCGAAGGAATTCTAGAAACAGCGGCGTCAGCACCCTGTCCTGGGTGACTCAGCGACGCTATGGCGTCTGCTCTAGATGCCGAGATGCCTCGGGAGGTTCGTGTCCTTCGCTTATTCTCACTCTTCGGGTCCTTGAGACCGTCGGAAGGGTGGGTCCCCCCTCCCTCCCCTCCGCACTGTCCCGGAGCCCACGATCCCCTCCACGGAGAGGAGAGAACGCGCTCTCCCCCACACCTCACCGTCTGCACCTCCCTCGGCCACAGGTCGGCGTGGTCAGCGCCTTTGCCCAGACCCTGCGCAGATACACGTCGCTCAACCACCTCGCTCAGGCGGCGCGCGCCGTGCTGCAGAACACCTCCCAGATCAACCAGATGCTCAGTGACCTCAACCGCGTGGACTTCGCCAACGTGCAGGTGACTTTCTCCAATGCAATTCCCCACGACCTGGGATGGGGCGTGGGGACCGGGCTGCAGATCAGCGACCCCCACCCCGCCTTCTAGCCTCGAGAAAAAGGCTCAAAACCACAAAATGCAACCCGCAGCAAAACCCAGTGTGCATGAGAACAGGGTCAGGGCGGAAGCCCCCTCCCTGCAGCCCCCCAGGCCTCCAGGTGCTGGGACCCACACCTTGGGTCACCCTCCTTAAGAATCTACCTTCCTGCTGCCATTTTCACAGCTCTCTCCTCTGGGCTCAGAAAAGTGCAGGCTATGTTCCTGCGCGTCCTGCCTCAGTGATACTCACGCTGAGTTCAGGCTCTGAGTTCATCCGCTAAATAAACACACACACCTTTAGAGAAAGGAGCACTTAAAACACCACAAACACACGGTGTGTGGTCTGAGCTTTGGCCCCAGGAAGCATGGGTTTCTGCGTTTGGAACCAGGGCAGGCTCCCTCTCTGGCTGTCCGTCTGTCCAGCTCCACCCCGGGGGCTCAAGTGGCAGCCGGCAAAGGCCCGGAGTGGGTGCTGGCCCCCATGCTCCTCCCGCATCCCACACGGCGCTGGTCCGGGGGTGGGGGTGGGGGGCCACCCTGACCTGCCGCCCACGCCCCGCAGGAGCAGGCCTCGTGGGTGTGCCAGTGTGAGGAGAGCATGGTGCAGCGGCTGGAGCAGGACTTCAAGCTGACCCTGCAGCAGCAGAGCTCCCTGGACCAGTGGGCCAGCTGGCTGGACAACGTGGTCACCCAGGTCCTGAAGCAGCATGCCGGCAGCCCCAGCTTCCCCAAGGCCGCCCGCCAGTTCCTTCTGAAATGGTCCTTTTACAGGTAAGTCCGGCTTGGTTTCCGAGAGAACCCAGGGAAGGCGGGCATGGTGGGCTCCGAAGGCCCAGCGGCCCGCTCGCCAGGCTCCCAGGGCAGGCACCGTGTGCTGACGGAGACAACCTGCAACTTTTCTTTCCAGACCTGTGCTCTCCTCTGGCTGACATGAGGCATTCGGGAGAAGGGCTGGCGCAGCATTAACGGCCAAGCCACGGCTCCCCGGGTGGGGGAAGGGAGCACGCAGAGACATCCCCCTCCACCCCCCCGCCCCCCGCTGGGGACCCAAAATCCGAGTTCGCTTGTTTACCTTTAGGGGGCTTGGCCATACAGAGCCAAGGAGCTTCTGAGGAGAAAACAGCCCAAATCCCAAGCCGTTCCACTCTGTCCACTGACTCGGCCTTTGGGTTCACACACGTTCAAGCGACCTTTGCTTTCCACATGCTGGTCTGGACACGGTGGTCAGCACCTGGCTTCCCTCCTTGGCTGCCTTTGCTAAGCCGTCTCAGATCCACAGCCTGCTGAAGCCACCTCTCTTTCCCCCACTGCCAAACCAAGTGCCTTAAGAGTGCATCTACGCGCCGGCCCAGGAGGACGTGCGAAGCCTTAAGTATAATGTCATCAGCTGCTCTTACCGACTCACCTGCACACCCCATCGTTCCCACACAAGCACAGATTGTCAGCCTGTTAAAAAAAAAAAACAACAGGGCACACTAACATTTTCAAAAGTTGATTGGAGCAGCCCCAACCCGCAGGTGCTCAGTGAGCGAGGGGAGAGGTGTTTACAGAGAATTTGCGGGAGCAAAGCAAGGAAATGAGGTGATTGGCTTGAGCTTGAGCTTCGCTGCTGCCACCGTGGAGGGGGGAGCCTGGCCCTTCGTGGCTGGTGGTTTGAGGGTTCCCTCAGAATCACACACGTCACCTCCAGCTTGGTTCTGGGATGCTTGGGCCACACGGCGTCAGAGCTACTGCTGTGCAGGGCCCCCTGCTTGGTGACTCTGTCGGGGGCTCACACACATCTCCTCCTGCCTTGTCCCCTCCTGGTTCTTTTGCTACCACAGCGATGAGTGGGGAAGCTCTGAGGTGGGGCAGTCGGGTGTTTGGGGTTGGGTGCCAAGTGATCTCATCCCTTTAGATCAGGGGCTGCTTTTTCTGTGAAGAATCAGATAGTAAGTATTTCCAAGAAATAAATAAACTTTTATCGGCACACAATATGTAAATGAACAGGCATGACCAATGTGCCAATAAAACTTTATTTATGGACACCAAACTGTGAATTTCAGGTACTTTTCACGGGTCGTGAAACATAATTCTTCTTTTGACTGTGTCTCCAACCACTTAAACCTGTAAAACCCATTGTTAGTTCGCGGGCGGTACAGGAGTGGGCAGTGGGCTGGATCTGGTCTGGATTTGGGGCCATACGTCCCCAGCCCCTGCTGCAGATGAAAGAGGCGGAAGCTCCCTGAAGTTCTGTCTTGTTTTAGGCACCTAAACCACTGACTGAGGAGCCAAGGCTGGATGGGAGGGAATCCCAGGAGGAGGGAAGGCCGGGAAAGGCTGCCCGCCGTGGGCGAGTCGTAAGGGCACTATGACTGACCACAGGCCATTGGCTAAGGCTTGTGTCAGACAGAGACACAATGTCCCGTCTCCACGGCCCCCTGCTTAGAGCTGACCGCCCCGCCCGCCTCCCCTCCACCCCCGCCTGTCACAACGGACACAGGGGCGGTCTGGGTGGCTGACAGGCCCCTCGTGGGATCTATGGGCCCCCCCCCCCGAAAAGCCTGGCCCGACTGCCTGCCTGCGAGTCCATGCTCCCCGGAAGTCCCCAGCCTCTGTCTGCCCATCCCCCCAGCTCCATGGTGATCCGCGATCTCACGCTACGCAGCGCCGCCAGCTTTGGCTCCTTCCACCTGATCCGCCTGCTCTATGACGAGTACATGTTCTACCTGGTGGAGCACCGTGTCGCCGAGGCGACCGGAGAGACGCCCATTGCTGTGATGGGAGAGGTGAGGGCCCCTCCTGCCCTGGGGACCCCGGCACGCCGTGGGCAGTGTGTGTGACACAGTGGACGGCCCAAAGAGAAAACACTCACAGGAGGCCTGTGGGTGGGAAACCGCTCGCAGGCTGGAGCCCACTGGCCTGGGTTCAGCCCTGGCCCCTCCGCCTCCTAAAGCGTTCCTACCCCTGAAATGAGACCTGGAACACCTGGCCCGTGGGAGGTCTCCTGTTGGAACAGACATATAAAATGTACCATTCTGGCCATTTTAAAGTGAACGATTCAGTAGCATTTAGTACACTAAGAGTTGTGCAGCCACCACTTCTAAGTCCAGAACATTCCATCACCCCAAAGGCAAACCCCACCCCTATCAGCAGTCACCACCATCCCTCTCCCCAGGCGCTGGCACCCGCCACCCTGCTTTCTGCCAGGATCTACCTGTTGTGGGCACCATACCCGGGTGGAATCATACGTGGGTGTGGCCTTTCTTGTCTGGCATCTGTCACTCCACATCATCCTTGCAAGATGCAGCCGCACTGTAGCGCGGATCATTGCCTCACTGCTTCTGTGGCCAGATAATATTTCCTTGCACGGACAGTCCACATTTGGCTTTACCTGTTCATATGTTGATGATCACATGGGTTGTTTACAGCTTTGCGCTGCTGTGGGCACACATTCTTGTTTGAATACCTGTGTTCACTTCTTTTGGGTACATTCATTCCTAGGAGCAGAATTGCCAGGTCATGTGGGGTTGTTTTGAGGAAGAAATGAGGTGATGCCTAGAGAGCTTTTAGTACATAATAAGCCTGTCACCTTTAGAGGCCACAGTCCCTGTCCTTTCGGTGGCCTGACCAGTCAGCGCCCACTCAGCCCTCCAGCAGCTCCCAGGCAAGACCCAGAAGGTGCCAGAGGGGACACACCAGCATCAGCGCCACTTCTCATGGGGGAACCACTCTCCTTTACAAACGAAGCCTGTGTTAACTACAGATAGAGGACAGTGCTGACATTCACCAGGACCAGGCCCCTCTGTGGAGGCCCCTGACTCTGGGCTTCTCTCTTTCAGTTCAACGATCTCGCTTCCCTATCGCTGACACTGCTCGATAAAGGTGGGTGTGTCCGTGGCTTTTCCGTGAGGCTCTCCCAGGGGCTATTCCTCCCACCCTGGGCCTAGTAGACATCGAGGCAGCTCCCAGGGTGGGTTTGAGGGCCTTCAGGAGCTGGCATCCAGACAGGCTGGTGAGGCCTGGGCAGCAGCAGGTGTCCCAGTGATGCTTATGTGGGCCTGGCCCCTGCTGGGGCTCAGAGGAGCAGCCCTGCACCTCCTTCTTGGGTGGGTGCCTTGGGATGCCATCTAATCCTGCTCCCCAGGCACCTCCACATCAGGCCCAGGAGCAGGGCCACAGTCCTGGGCTGCCTGCATCCACTTGCCCCTACCCCAACCCATTCCCTGCCCCACGGGGTAGGGGGCACCAACTGCTGAGGGGGACCCTGCCAGGAATGTGACCCAGCAAATGGACACTGGTCAAGGGAGCTCTCCAGGAAGAAGGCCTCCCTGGGCACTGCAGGGCAGTGTCCACACCTGTGCACCTCTCTGAGAATGTGCTTCTCTCTCCCTCTCCTTCCTGCGCCCACACTCCTCATCCGCAACGCTAACCCTGCAGATGACCTCCGCGAGGATCGTGGCCGTGAGGCCAACTCTGATGCCCGCAGCCTGGGCGAGCCCCTGGTGAAGCGGGAGCGCAGTGACCCGAACCACTCCTTGCAGGGCATCTAGCTCTGCGGTGCCTTCCCCAGGCTCCAGACCGGGCCCCTCGAGCTCTACTGTAATAGTGCCTCTTAGATGACGTGACCTTTGCTCTGACTCACGGGGGCGCCCTCCAGAAGAAAAACCCTCGTGAACCACAACAGAAGGTCACATCGGGTTCCCGAGTGCCTGAGCTGCTCACCCGGTGACTCCTGGGTCATCTTTTCCTTCTGAGTGTTCTTCTCTCCTCTGCCGGACCATGAACTTTGGTCCAAGTCTACCCATCCCGCCTGAGAGCTGAAAGGGGCCACGCTGGACGAGCGGGCACCTCCACACTGGGCTTCTCCTCGGATCAGCTGCTTCCAGCTTCCACCATTATTTTTTAAAACTCAGATCCCAGGAGGGAAGGGGTGTCCTGTAGCTGTTGGGCAGTCCCGAGCTGACCGGTGTCCACAGAGCCCCCTGCCTTGGTGCCCTGTGGTGGGAAGGGACCTTCTCCGTGCTGTGCCCAGGGCCTCCTGCCCTGCTGGCTGTGCTGAGGCGTGGAGGCCGGCCCACAGGCCCACAGGAGCCCCATCTGCAGACACCTAACGTCCCCAGAAGCAGCTGTCAATCGCCATGGCCCCATGTGGCCCAGAGAACAAGTCACGGAAATGGGCCGCCCATGCCAAGACATAGTGGTGTCTTTAAGAACCAAGACCAGAAGTTTTATCAGCAACTGGAAGGATTTGGGTTCTGTCCAAGGTCACAGCCAATGTCAAGCCAAATTGCCAGGTCTGGAATGAGTTTGTTCCAAGGAGGCTGGGTGGTTGGTGTTTCAGTGGTGTCTTCAGAGAGCAGCCATCGGGCCAAGCCTGCCTGGCTCCTGCCGCGTAGAATCTTCTGGAATGCCTGCCTTTGAATTAGCAATCCTGGAGCACTCTGACCCGGGGCAAGTCCCATCTTGAACTGCTCAAAGTCGACACTCTTCTCTGGGCTAAATGAATCCTGAGGACTTGTACAGCCCTTGAACTTTGAACACTCCGGATCCAGATCCGCTGTAACACATTGCACTTGGTTAGCTCCATGCAAGAGTCCTGCCCCCAAACCAACTGCAAAGAAGAAAGACAAACCTCTGGTCTAGGAAGCACCATCTTATGAAATGCAATAGTTTCTCCTTTTGGAAATATGTTTATACCAATAGTTTTGTGCTCTAATTGTTATTAGAACGTTTCTTATGAACATGTATATTGTAGTATATTCAGTCCCCAATATTTTTTTTCTCATTCACGCAGAAGGTACTAATGTAAACTCACGTGGCCTTTAAAAACCTTACTTCCCAACAAGCAGGAGCGCTGAGCACTCCTAGGCCCACGCCAGGTGTGCAGGGCGGTGTGGAGGGGAAAGACAGGAAAGCTAGGCGCTTATCTTAGAAACCGAAAGTCTATCCTCATCACAATGTTTCTCTGGTTTTACAGTTCAAGACTTAGATGAAATCAGACGGAAAGAATGTCTTTAAAATATATATATCTCCTCTCCTGGGAGACATTTAAGCTCACGGTTCTCAGATTGTAATGGCCTGCCTTTTCTTCCACGGGGGGTGAGCAGTACAAACCAGGTTTCCGCCTTACGCTCCTGCCTTTGCAGGATTCCACAAGGAACAATACAAATGACAGTAAAGACACGCACCTTCCAAGCCCGTTCTTGTTTTTCATGGCATTGAACACACGCGATCCACACTCCAGCTTCTCCCCGACAAACACACACACACACACACACACACGGTGGCCTGGGAGGATGCAGGCCTCCCTTCAGGCCAGTCCCCTGCCCTGGACAGCCAACCTGGCCGGGCTCCTGCCCTGCGAGGCTCCGAGGAGAAGCAGTGGCCTCCAGCACTTTGTTCTTGACTCTGGGGAGTGTTCCAGAAGGAGCAGATTCCCTGAGCTTCATTTGGCAAGGCCAGCTCTGGGCTAGAGATGACAAGAAAACAATTCTCAGCCCAGGATGGTCAAGACTATTTGTAAGCAGACTAGACTTACTCAGATATGGCAGAATAAACCGCGGCTCCAGGCACTGATGAAACCCACCGGTTGTTCCCAGGGCTTATTCGGTAGATGGGTGGGGGGCCAAACTTGGGACGAATCACTGCATGAGCTTGTTCTAAAATGGCCAAGTCCTGGGCCCCATCCACAGAGAGGCTGCCTGGTGGGATTACCATGGGGAATCCGAGTTGTTTGGACTTCCCCTCTGGGGGGGTTGGAGGGGCTCTGACACAGGGGATTATAGGACTTTGAAGAAACCCTGCAGAGGAGACCAACAGGCTCAGGAACCAGGAACGGCCCACGGATGGGAAGATGTTCCAGAAATGTGGGACACAATTCCTGGTCAGCCACCCCTAAAAAGTTGCTCCTCCGTGCCAGGCCAGCGCCCCACGTGCCCCAGAGATGCTCAGCCCTGGCCCCAGCCCAGGCCCATCTGTCCCCAGTAGAGGCCCTGAGGCCCCCAGGTGACACTAAAATCGTCTACTACTTCCCTGGGCTGGGACCTCCAAGGGCCTGCACGCAGCTTAATGCTCTGCCATCACAGTCCTGAAATTCTTACTAGTTTTTGAACAAAGGGCCCACGCTTTCATTTTGCGCTGGGCCCCAGTGCAAATTTTGTGGCCAGTCTTGGGAAACTCCCAGGATACAACCATGCAGGCTCCCCTTCAGCTGGGCGGCCAGGCCCTGTCTCTGTGGCGAGTCCCTGCCAGGCTCTGAGAACCCAGCGGAACCCCAACTCGCCCCATCCGCTCGTGGTTCACGACTGCAGGCCCTCTCCAGCCTGAGACCCCTGAGCAGTGCCAGCCCTTGCACCAAGCAGCAGCCACCCCCAGCCTGCCCTGTCTGAGAGCCAGGCCCGGTGCTGGGGTGGCAGGGTCCCTGGAGAAGGAGAGCCAGGCCCTGCTCATGGGCCAGAGTGGCTGGTGACGGAGTGAGCACAGGTGATGCCTCCATGACCACCGTCCCAGGAGCCAGAGAGGAGATGAGCAGGACAGACTGCTGAAGGCCCACAGGCTATCAAGTCCCTCAGGACAGAGGGCCAAACAACAAAGGGAACCTAGTCCCACCAAGAGCCTCTGGGAGGTTCTAATCACAATGGCTCCACACTAGATGCTTCTGTCCAATCTCCTCTTTTTGATAGTAGGTGTTACCCACACTGTACACATGGGAAAATTGAAGCTACCTGCTGGAATGCAGATATGACGGCTGGAGCATCAACAGCCATTTTAGACCTTGAGGTGGACTCCTATAATAAGGATGGCAAAGCAATGAGACAGAAGGAGCCTGGATCCCTGGTGATCATGGAGCTGCATTACAATCCTGATGACCCGCAGAGTTCAGTAAGCTGCGGGGGCGGGGGGGGCTGGGGCAGGGGAACCCACAGATGTTCTGCCTCTGGGAACTCTCTGGTAGCAAGAACTCTGAAGCAAGCTGTGAAGTACACCCCCCCCCACACACACACACATACACACACACACTCCAGCTGTGGGTGTGCTAAGAAGGGAGAGACTCCCTAGCTGAGGGTGTCACCCCTCCACCACTTTTCCTCCCACAGCTCAGGCTGTTGCCCATCTGCTCCCAGCTCCCACTCCAGAGCTTCATCCTTCCACACCTTCTGTGACCTGGTCCATACCCAAATGGAAATGCCCCTCCACGTGCTGCTGACTTGCCCCACGGTGGCCTGGCCCACAACTGCTCAGAGGTGTGTGGGTGCCTCGCCCTCCACACAGCAAAATAGGAGCTCAGCATCTGACCGTTCGGGCCTCTTCCTCGTGCCTCCATCACGGCACTGCCCACCATCCATCCAACCACCCAGACCAGAAACCCAGGGCCACCTTCATTGCCCACACCCCTCCTACTTCCCCAAAACGCCCATAACACGGTCACTCTCTCCTTCCTCCTTGCCACTCCCCAACTCCTCCTGGCCGGGAAAGGAAGCATGGTAGGGGAAATAGGGCTAGGCTATGCAGGTTTGAGTGCCAACTCCACGGTCATGGGCTGTGTCCTCAGGTATATTACAAATGACCCTTCAACAACATGGGGGTTAAAGGCGCCAATGCTCCTTGCGGCCAGAAAGTGCACACATATAACTTTTGACCCCCCAACAACTTAACTAATGGCCTACTATTGACTGGAAGCCTTACCAATAAACAGTCAATTAACCCATGTTTTGTATGTTATATGTATTATCTACTGTATTCTCAAAGCAAGCAGAGAAAAGAAAATGTTATTAAGGAAACCATAAGGAAGAGAAAATAACATTTACAGCACTGTACTGAATTTATTGATATAAGTCTGCATATAAGTGGACCCACGCAGCTCAAACCCATGGTGTTCAAGGGTCAGCTGTACTTAAATCAGTTTCTCCATCTGCAAAAAAAGGTAAAAAAAATACCTACCTCACAGCCTTGTGAGCTTTAAATACATTAATACTTAGTACTGGAGTAAGCATTCCACAATTGTGTCTCGGCCTCGGCACTGCGGACGCTTGGGACCAGACCATTCTTGCTGGTGGGGCGTGCTGGGCACTGTGGGATGTGGAGCAGCATCCCTGGCCTCACCCACCCCCTGCCAAGCGCACCTTCCCTGCCCCAGTCATGACAATCACAGATATCTCCAGATATCACCCAGTGGCCCCCGGAGTGGGGCAGAACGGACCCCGGGTGAGAACCACTGGGTGAGAGCACTATCGTGATGACCAGTTCCCTGCATCTTTTGTACCTTGGCAACCACATCACTTATCACTTATCTTTCTCTCTCCACACAAACCCTTACCCACTCAATGCTCTTATTTCTTGCTCTTGGAACTCAGCCCACGATCTCATCTGGGGCTCTTTCACCTTCACTGGACTTCCCACCTAACCTCCACGCCTTCACGCACACACCTGCCTCTTTAGTGCTTCTCTTGATTGACACCTCCTCCAGGAAGCCTTCCTGGAAGCTCTCCCACTAGATTAGGATCCTTTATACCCCGCCCTTCCCATAAGCACTGTGGGTGAGTAGCTCTCGTCTGCCTTGCTTGCTCAATACCGTATCTCCCCAAATCTAACACTGTGTATACGTAGGTTCAGCAAACATTTAGTGACTGAGTGAAGAAGGTTTCTGGGAGAAGGTGCTATTCATGGTAATCACGGGAAGGTAGGGGAAAGGAGGAGAGAAAACACATGGAAGAACACTAAGGAATGGCCAAACGAAAGAAAAATCCATTCAGAAGAGGCCACCACCAGAATTTTTTTTCCTTATCGGAACTGGGCTTTAGAAAAATTTATTCTGGTACAGTGGATTATACATAAGCGGGAAGCAAGGAGGCCAGTTAGGTACTTGATAAGATGGCACAAGTGAGGGGTAGGGAGTGGGGGTAGTGGAGACGGGGTGGTGGAGACAGCAGGGGAGGGGAGCGGGCAGAAGCAAGAGGTCCACTAGAGCCCCCCCCCGCCGTGCCTAATAGCAGATCGAGTGGGTTATGAAATCAAGTTGATGGGTTATGACCAGTTTAGTCTTTTTTTTTTTTAATGGACCAGGATATTAGTAGAAAACATGAGAAGTATTGATGGGATAAAGACAAACCTAACTTTGTAAAGTTTTTGTTTTAGTATTATGTATTACGTGCGTATACATACACAGATGGCATTAGGCCGCCACATAAGCCTAATGTACAATGTACTGGATTCATGAAATATACTGGATACGTATATGTGTCAAAAGCCACAAGTACTAACCGGTAATTCTCAACCTATTTTGCAGTCATGGGTCTCTTCTAGAATTCTCTGTGATAGATGTTTGTGGGGTTTTGCCATCCAGCATCCATTCCACCTTCTTTTGGAATAACACCCTGATTTCCTTTTGAGGAATGACCTTTCTCCCATGAATTTAAATACCACCTCTACGTGGGCACTGGAGGTTATGGGCTTAGCATATGTGGGGAACAGTGAGACCAGTATGGCTGGCTATAAGGTGAGTGAGCAGGGCAGGAGGGAGACATGGAGGGCTTCCTAGATGCTAGCCAGGACTTAGGGTTTCATTCCAGGAGTGAGAGGCCCATGACCTCAAAATAGATTGAGAGCTCCCCTCCATCAGCTCTCAGATGTATGACTGCCCACCCAACACCTCCACTTGGATATCTCGAATGGCAAATGGCATCTCAGACCAGCAGCTGGGCACCTAGAAGAGTCGATAATAAATAGTTGGAGGCATAAACTGGATAGTCATAAATTGGATAGATGGGGAAAGCAGGGTGGGGGGCACAAGGTAATAAGTGCCCCACCATGCTGGACCCATCCAACACTTTCTCCTATTAGTCTGAATTATGAGCTGCATGTAAGACTGAAAGCAACAGAAGTGTGGGGGTTCTCCGAGAGGTGCCCCACCCACCCTGCTAAACTGGCTGTCAAGACCCACTGGAGCCTGCCCAGTTTCTTCTTTTCCCCTTCATCTTAGGAGCATCTTCATAACTTTCCAACAAATTCTCCCTTTGCTTAAATTTGCCAGAAGTGTTTTTGGGTTTGCAACCAAATCGACACACCCTCAGTACCCATGAATTTTGCAGTCAGATTCAGAAGGGATTCTCTGACCTCCCCGAAGTCCTCCCAGGATGGAGAGGCACTGTTTCAGAGGCCGGCTGGGAGTATAGGTGCAGTGCAACCAAGACAGGCTCCGTCTCCGCTGGTGCAGCCAGCACCTACCAGACCTGGTTCATGGAAGATGCCAGACCCCCAACTGAGACCCGCCCCCCAACTGACACAGAGCCTGAGTCCCCAACAAGTTCAGTTACTTAGAAGGAACTGAACAGCTTCCCAATCCTCTGCCGCCCCCCAGTGGTCACTGTGTGACATGGCCTCTTCCTTTTCCCCTGGGGGGACACAGAGCTGGGATTTTTGCCTAAACTGGAGGCAGTTTTGTTTACTAAATTGCAACAATGCAAGATAGGAAAGACCACAAGCAACAGATTGAATGAGCTAGCTTCCTTCTTTCCCTCTTCTGCCTCCCCTTCTCTTCCTCAAATATTCCCTATTTATTTACATAGATTCAGAGTATCTCCCCAAGAGATACTCAGTAATTACAATGGGAAAAGTAGTAACTTGGCAGAGGCTATCTAAACCAAGTGATCTGAATTATCATCACGAATGGTACAAACGCACTGAGACAGACACATCACTCCTGTGCTATTCCTGCCAAAAATTGGTAATCTGAGTTTAATCATGAGGAAACGTGAATCAAACCCAAAATTAAGGGGCATTCTACCAAATAACTGGGAGTACTCACTACCAGTGTCACGGTCAAGAAAAAAGACTGAAGAACTGATCCAGACTGAAGGAGACTGAGAAATGGTATCTCAATGCAACGTGGAATCCTGGACTGGATCCTGGGACAGGAAAAGAAATCATTAGTGATGAATGGCTGAAATTTAGATAAGATTTGTATATTAATGAATGGAATTGCATCAATGTGAATTTCTTAGTTTTGGTCAGTCACTGCACTGTGGTTATGTAAGATGTTAATATTTGGGGAAGCTTGATGAAGACTCAAGTAGGAAAGACGTTAGGGTTCAAAGCTGACAGCCAAGAAAGAATTCTTGAGATGTCTTTGGTGCAAAAAGGTGGTTTTATTAAAGCACACAAGGACAGGACCCATGGGCAGAAAGAGCTGCACAGGGGTCATGAGGAGTGGCGCATTATATACTTTCAAGTTGGGAGGGGGTTAGGGATAGCGTTAAGTCTCTAAGGAATTCTGGAAGCAAGGTTTTCAGGACCTTGGGGGGGTAGCTATTGTTAGGAAAAGGTCATTTATTACTGTCTAATAAAACCTTAGTCATGAGACCCTTCAGATGTATATCGATGGGTCATATGCTTGGGGAGTGATTGCCAACATGTATCTTGGGGTGAGGTAGAGATAAAGGAAGTTTTGAAAGGAATTTTTTTTTAATTTTATTTATTTATTTAAGAGAGAGAGAGACAGCAAGAGAGGGAACACAAGCAGGGGGAGTGGGAGAGGGAGAAGCAGGCTCCCCACTGAGCAGGGAGCCCGACACAGGGCTTGATACCAGGACCCTAGGATCATGACCTGAGCAGAAGGCAGACACTTAATGACTGAGCCCCCCAGGAGTCCCGAAAGGAATTTTTATATGTTAAAGTAGACATACAAGATCCTGGGGTCGGGCTAAGATTGCCTTTTGCCCTTAGCAAAGTATTAACATTGAGGCAGTTGCGTCCCTAGAGGAATGTCACCCTGCCTGTTTCAAGGACTTGTCAATAGGCTGTAAGTAGTAAGGAAATTTAGTAATTTTCTTTTGCCTTTGTTTACCACATCAAAGACTATATGGAATTCTTTGTGCTATTTTTGCAACTTTTTCATTTAAATCTATATTTTAAATTGAAAAGTTAAATTTGTAAAAATTATAAGTAACATAGAATAAGTATTTCCTCCCAATTCCATACTATATTTAACTGCTGCAGAATATGGGAGTGAGGGAAGCTGATGCACCCAGCTTGGGTCAGAGGCCCCCCCCCATCAGCATTAGCATCGGCCACATCGGACATCCTCCTGTCATGAACTCCACCTGTGGACTGGGGGAGGACAGGGAAGGGTGCTGAGTGGAGGAGGCAACCCAGGATGACTCCCCCTGCCCTCACTTGACTCTGAGCTCCCTGAGGGTGGGGAACTGTGTAGCTGATTAATCTCTGGGGCCTCAATCTCAGCATGGGGCTGGGCACAGAGCAAATACCTGCCCATGATGGGAAGATGAGAACCTAATTGCAGCTGTGAAGGCCCTTTTTACTGGAGACCAACTACAGAAGCCATTAAGAACATGGCTGTGAAGGGAAGTTCACAGTTCTCAGAGCACAGCCAGGGCTCAGGCAGTCCTCGAACTTGTCTCTTGGTGAGCCAAGGAGGAAGCAGGCAGCTGAGAAGCCAGTCGATCAGCAGTTTAGGGTAAATCATTTGGATCCTTCCATTTCCCACTCCCAACCTTTATATTAGGAAAAACTCCAAACTCATTGCTGTGGCTTACAAGGTCCTACATGCCCCCTCCCTGACCTCATTTCCTCACTCTGCCCTGGCCACACCGAACTCCTCATGGCTCCTCCAGCTCACCAAGCTGGTTCCTGCCTCAGGACCTTTGTACTCGCAGATCTTCTACTAAGTGTCACCTCCTCAGAGAGGACTTCCCTGACCAGCCAACCTGAAGTATTCCCTTTTTCTTTCTTTCCTCCCTTTCTTTTTCTCTAAGTAGGCTCCTCACCCAGCACAACGTGGGGTTTGAACTCACGATCCTGAGACCAAGACCTGAGCTGAGATCAAGGGCAGGACGCTTAACTGAGCCACCCAGGCACCCCAATATGCCCTTTTTCTATCACTGTCACAATATGCTGTTTTATTTTCTTTATAGCACTAGTCACTATCTCATATTACCTTGCCTGTCTATTGTAATCTCCTTACAAAAGAATGCAAAACTCCATGAAGGCAGAGTCAAAGGTCCATGAAGCCAGGGTCTGTCTTTTTCAGCCTGGGCCCCAACATGCAGAACAGTGCCTAATGCACAGTAGTGCCATGGATATATATTGCTGTGTAACACCTGTCTCCTAGACTTAAGGGCTTGTAATAACAACCATCATTTAATTTATCTCTCATGGTTTCTGTGTGTGAAGAACAGGAAGGGCTAGCTGGGCAGTTCTCTCAGGGTTTTGTGTATCTTTGGCTTCCTCACAGCATGGAGGCCTCAGGGCAGATGGGACTATTTACATGAAGACTGAAGATTTTCAGGTTTGCTGTTCCAGCAAAGCAGATGAAAGTTGCATCCTCTCTGTTCTGACCTAGCCTCATAGGTTACAGTGTCATTTTCACTGTGCTCTATTCATCCACCACTAACGAGTCCACCTCCATGCAAGGGAAAGGAACAGGGACCTCACCTTTTTTGATGGAAAGAGGGTCAAAGAATTTGGGACCTTATTTCCAACTACCACCAAAAAGTGATAAACAAATATTGATTTAATAAATAAATAAATATTGACTAAGTTAACTCGTTAGAGGAGACCAGATAAAGCAAAAACTGGCCTAAGGGGCAATTGTTGGCAGCCATTGGCACTTTGGAGACAACTGTGAAACCAGTGGAAATTTGGTTGGCTCATCAGACTGACAGGTTTAGCATCTCTCTATGTCCCTTGAAAAACCACAACTGGATTATATTTAGCAAGTGATGACGTGTTGCTGGGAGTTGCCCCAAGTGTGGGATGAATGTGGTCTATGAAATGACTTTAGGAGACATGGCAGACATAGCATCAGATGACACCGAATCACATGATTTACAGCTATCCCGTTTTCAGTTCTCTTTCGGTACTTCTCATACTGTCAAGCAGAGTTTCCACTGAGTGATCATATGCCTCTACTAACCCTCTAATACTGTGCAAATCTCTCTTTACATCAAGAAAAAGCAGGCTTGGGCTTAGCACCTTGGCAGACAATATCAACCCAGAATTTAAAAAACCTTGTTTTGTTTTCATGTTTATTTTTACAATTATCTCCTACTCATGGGTTAGTGGTATTTGGATAGTGATATACTCTATTTAATGTAAATGTAAACCAATAAAAAGGCCTGTAAAAAAAAAAAGTATTAAGTTCATTAAGGGTCATAGAGTTTAGACACATGGCAAAAGCCAAGAAGACCTACCCAAGAGAAAATATGTATAAAATGAAATATAATGAATATAATGAAACCAACAAACTAGAAATGAGAAAACCTAAGCCTACACACTGCTGGCGAACCAGATGGACTCAATGACCACCACCATCCTTTGCAGCATTGATATTCTAGCTATTCCTAGAGAATTTCTAATTCAAGGTCTGTGGCCTGTGTTTATATTTTGGTGGCAAAATCTAGGGCAGGAGAATCAAGGCATCTATTAAATAAAGTTAGTGTAATTCTTGGGGCGCCCGGGTGGCTCAGTTGGTTAAGCGACTGCCTTCGGCTCAGGTCATGATCCTGGAGTCCCAGGATCAAGTCCCGCATCGGGCTCCCTGCTCAGCAGGGAGTCTCCTTCTCCCTCTGACCCTCCTCCCTCTCATGCTCTCTCTCTATCATTCTCTCTCTCAATAAATAAATAAGAATCTTTAAAAAAAAAGTGTAATTCTTAATAGTATTAACCATTTCTCACCCCCCCCAAAATAAATGAAAGTTTCTGAACAGTGCTTCTCAAGGTCTGACATGCATAGGAAGCCCCAGGGTATCTTGTTAAAATGTGGATTCTGATTAAGGTCTGGTTTAGGACCTGGGATTCTGTATTTCTAAGAACCTTCCTGGTGATGCTGTTGATTTGGGGACCACACAGAAAAAAAGAAAGCTCTAGGGCGCCTGGGTGGCTCAGTCATTAAGCATCTGCCTTCGGCTCAGGTCATGATCCCAGGGTCCTGAGATTGAGTCCCACATCGGGCTCCCTGCTCGGCGGGAGGCCTGCTTCTCCCTCTCCCACTCCCCGTTTGTGTTCCTGCTCTCGCTATCTCTGTCAAATAAATAAATAAAATCTTTAAAAAAAAAAAAAAAAAAGAAAGCTCTAGGAACATATATAGTGTGTTCTGAGCATCTCTTCCTAGCTCTGCAGTTAGTGAAGTTCACATTAGTAGACTGAAATTAGCCATGGTTGAAGAATTTACACCAAGAAAATCAGCACTACAAACCAGGGTTCATTTCATTGTTTTATTAATTATGTTCTAGCCTTAAGTGATAAGAAAACATAAATAAAATTTACAACAGACTACCACACAAGCACACATATAAATACATATACATACACACATACTGACACAGACAATCTCCCCCAGAGAAGCAGTTGTTAAACATTTGTCAAGCCCCGTTTTTCAGTTCTCGTAGAGATGCATACAGGGCAACCATGTAGATTAGGGGTTGGCAAACTTTTTCTGTAAAGACCCAAGTGGCTAATATTTTTTTAAAGATTTATTTAGTTAGTTGGGGGTGGGGGGGACAAGAGTGAGGGGAGAGGCAGAGGGAGAAGCAGACTCCCTCCCCAGCAGGGGGCCCCAAGCGGACTCAACCCCAGGATCCTGGGATCATGACTGAGCCCAAGGCAGATGCTTTATCTACTGAGCCACCCAGGGCCCTCCAAATGGCAAATATTTTAAGTTTTGTTGGCCAGTCTCCGTTAAAAAGGAGTCATGCAGCCACAAACAATACGTAGTGTGACTATTTTCAAATAAAATTTTATTTGTGAACACTGAAATTTAAATTTCATCCAATTTTCACATGTCGTGAGATATTCTTCTTTCGATTTTTTCCAACAATTGAAAGTGTAAAACCATTCTTAGCTCACAGGCCAGATGCAGCCAACAGGCTGTGGGACCTCTCTGTCTAGATCACAATGGAAGAGGAGTGGAGCTGGGACTCACAAGGGATTAGACCCGGGACACAAAGCCCCGGAGAGGGCTCAGCAGGTGCAAAGACCCGAAGGCTGGAAGGAGTTCGGCATGCTCCAGGCCTGAAAGACGCATGTGGCTAAGCTGCACTGAGCAAGAGGGGAGCATGAGAGCACAGCGTAGGGAGCTTCGTGAGCCTTAACGAGAGATTTAGAATTTACTCCAAATTCAGGAGAAAGCTCTATGGACGCGCGGAGGAAAGATGGGCCCTTGATCTAATTTAATTTGTTTAAAGACTCCTCTGCCTGGCGCTGTGCGCGGCCGGAGCGCAGAGCCCCCCAGGAGGCGGCGCGGTCTCCCCAGGAGAGAGGCGAGGCTGGCCTCGCGTGGCCTGTGTCCTGGCAACAAAGCAGAGCCAGGAATGCGTTCAGACCGACTCGGGGCAGGTGAGCAGAGGCGGCGAGGAGGCGCGGGCGGGCGGAACACCTTCCCTCAGCCCCCGGGCCGGTTCAGCCCGGCTCTCAGACCCAGACGCTCGAGGCCCCGCTCCGCGCCAGGCGCCGTCCCGGGGCTCCCACCCCCGTGGCCCCCCGGCCCCCCAGCCCACAGGGTCCCCTCCCGGACTGATCCCTCCTCCGGCCGGCGCTCTTCGACCTCTGACCCCTCCCCAACTTCCCCCGCCGCCCCACGTGGCCTGAGGAAAACGCAGGCCTGAATAACTGGGCCCTCGGAAGGGGAAACTGAGGCCGCAGGTGACGGGGCGCCCCGAAGGCCTCTGGTCAGGCCTGCGCATGTGGACAGCCCCCCCCGCCCCCCACAGATCCAGAGATTCACCTCGGGGAAGGCTTCAGTCGCGGCTCCCTCGGCGGCTCGCGCTCCCACCTCAAGGAACTCCTGGAAAACGAGCAGAATTCCAGGGCGTCGAAACCCAGCCCCCTCCGCGCCGTCTCACCGAACGTTCGTTCCCGCGTCGCCGCTGACGCGCGCCAGGCTCATTACGCATGCGCCCTGCGCTGCCCACGCCCCCTTGGTCGGCGGGAAAAGGAGGCGGGGGAGGGTGCAGTTAGTGCGCAGGCGCATGCTCGGAGCTTGGCTGGGCCGGGACGGCCAGCCGGAGCGCGACTCCGCGCTGGTCTCAGCGCGCAGGCGCGAGCTGCCGGCCTCGCTCGGAGTCAGCTCGCGAAGTGCGCACGCGCGGGAGTTTCTGGCAGAAAGCAGGCGAGCCCGGGCCGGCGCGGGGCCTTGTGGGAGGGCTTAAGGAAGTAAAATGGCGGACCTGGCGAACGAAGGTAGGGGAGGCGCCGTCGGGGGCCAGCTGGCGGCCAGGGAACGGGCGGCGGGAGGCCGAGGGGCCACAAGCCTGAGGGGTGAGCACCCCGGAGTGCGGGGGACCGTGTGTTCCGGGACAGCGGCCCAACGGGCCCCACAGCCGCCCCCCATTGCGTCCCCTCAGGCCGGACTCACCGGCCCGGCCCATCACTCCCGGCAGCCTCGGCCCTGCCACGGTCCGGCCAGAGGGCCTGGGAGGCCGCTGGAGCCATGGCTCTGAGGCCCTTCTGCTCCCCGGGCCAGGTCGGGGCCCGAAGGGGGCGGGAGGCGAGGCCTCAGCGCTTTGGCCTCAGATGTAAATAGACCTCCGGGCCTGGTCGTCGCCCAGCGCGCCACGCTCCCTCCTGCGCCCCCTCGTTCCCGGGGACCGGGCTTGTCCCTTTCCTCGTCCTGGCGCCGAGGAAGCCCACCCCCGAATCCTGTGGGGTTCTCATCCTACGCGGGCCCGCTCCATGCCGAGTATGGAGGACACCTGGTCTGTTCTCCACCCCCCCGAACTCGGCCCCCAGTTCCCGCCAGTTCCCCCAGATCCTTAGTGGCGACCTGAGAGTCGCGCCTCGTCTCCCTGCATTTAGGCCTGGCCGCAGGATGTGGACTGCTGAAAGCCCCGGCTGCTTTTTGGCCCTTTTTCGCTGCACTTCCAGAGAGGAGACAGACAGGCTGTGCGAATTCCCTCCTCCCTGGAGCGCTGACATCCCACCCGAGCGTTTTTGACAAGGTTAGGGTTCTAAATCCTCTTGAGAAAGCACTCCATAAGCTGATGTCTGTTTAAATCAATAGTGGTGTTGATATCGCGGTAGCCTCAGGACTTCCGAGGCCTATTTTTAGCTCTCTCCGTTTCTAGGTGCACAACTGTAGTTCTGGCAAGCTGTCTACCTGCCTGGTCCTCTTCCCCCATACCATGCTCCCTGCTACCAGAGGGTGTCCTGAGGTTTCCATACCGAACTGTAAGAATGCATGAATGAAATAATAACTGCCCCCACCCTGGCCGAGCGTTTGGGGGTAGTACCGTGTACCGTTCAAAGTCTTGCATCCTGTTGTCTTGTAATACTCCTCACAAAAGATCTGTGAGGTAGGTACTGTTAGCCGGTTCTCTTGGTGAGGAAACTGAGTTAGAGCGGTTAAGTTACTTGTCCAAGGCAGGTCACCCAGCTCTTGAGCAGGAGAGATGTGTGAATTAGGTAGTCTGGCTTCAGAGCCCAGTCCCCCATATGCACACCCACACCGCCTGCCATTTTGTGCTGTATCTCTTTTACAAGATAAAGGAGCCCACCGAGGGATGAGGCCTTCCAGTTTATAAGATCCAATTCAAGGCAGGAGAGGGAGTGGATAAATGGGAATCAATGTGACATACTGTATGTATTTACAACTTTAGCGCATTCGGTTTCTGGACTTGTTGATCTTAAAAATAATACTGTCAGCTATTTTACTAGCAAGATGGGCTTATTCAGGAGTGACAGAGAATCGCAATTTAAGACAAGCAAGCACTGACAAAACCATAGGCAAGTCTCACAAGGAAGGACAGGAACATTATTTTAGGGAGAGGGGGAAAGTTGCTAGAGAACTTGTTTTGAATTGAAAGTCTATTGGAGAAAAGCAGCAATTCAGGGTGATGACAGTTTCTCATTGGCTAAGTTACAGGGGTAGTGGATTTCTTATAGAAGATTCAATGTACCTCCTCTGTCAGGGCCTGTAATTGATCTTTCTTTCCTGTTGATGTTTCTTCTTTTGGGGGCTATAACTGACAGTTCTCCCCCTAATTTCTGCTGCGTGGTAAGGCAACCCCTTTTGGCCTCCCTTTCTAGCCCCCCCCCAAGTCTGCTTTAGTGAGGCTTTTCCCATTATTAATTTTCACAAACTCAAGACTCAATATATCTAACATCATAGTCAATATTTGCATTTAAATGTCTCATGGGCACGTCAAACGAAATCCCTGTCTTTGCCCGCAACACCTGCCCACTCCACAGTCTTCCTCCCATTTGTAGTAAATGGCAAGTCCATTCTTTGAATTGCCCATGTCAAAATCCTTGAGGTTACCCTTCACTCCTCTCTCTCTCTCATATGCCACAGCAAATCCTGTCAGTTTTACCTTAAAATATCTCCGGAAGTGACCACTTCTCACCACCAATGCTGGTTTCCACCACTCGGGCCTCCCTTCCATCTTTACCCATCTAACAACTCAGCCCTAGAAGGGCCCCCTTCTACCTCCCTTTCCTCCCATCACACCACTCTCTCCCTGACTTGCTCTGCTTGAACCACTCTGGTTTCCCTGGTGTCCCTTGAATGGACTCTGCACACCCTCCTTTATGCCTTTGGACCTTCCGGTTCCCCTGCCTGAAACAGTCTTCCCCCAGATATCCCTATGGCTCACTCCTTCACTTCCTTCAGGTTTTTACTCAAACATTATTTATGGAGCACTTCTCTGGCCACATATTTTAAATTGGATCCCCATTCCCTGTCCCCTTTATCCTGCTTTATTTTCCTCCCCAGCACATATCATCATCTGACATGCGAAGTTTACTTGTTTGACTATCCCTCTAGAATATAAGCTCCATGAGGGCAAGGATTTCTTTCTGTCATGATCACTGATGGATTCCCTACATCTAAGCAGTGCCTGGCACAGAGTAGGTATCCAAGAAATGTTTGTGGAATGAATGAATGAATTCATCACTGAGGACCCTTATTGTGAGGTCTACTTTTGAGCACAAAGGGAAAATTATGGATTCCTGTTTTCCAGGGATACCATTTCTACCATATGGGCTGACACGTGAGCTTTTGATTGCTTAATTGAACGGTAAGTATAAAATAGAGAAATGGAATGGTTTATACTTAAAGTTTTTGCCTAATAAATGCCACACTCACTCAGTACTTTTGCCTCTGACACTAGTTCTGGCATAGTTGTCCTCAGGACATAAATCTTAGTGGGTTTTTGGCTTGTACAGCGTGCTGAGATGTTTAATTTATTATCTGCTATGTAAACTAGGGCTTTCTTGCCTATGCATTTTGAAGCTTTAGGGACTGCCCCATATGTGTGCTTTTCCTCCTGCTGTTTAAGCTCCAGTCAAATGCCCTCTTAGCTTCTGTTTTTCCAGAGTGGTATTCCAAGTAGTATTCCAAGCTGGTCCATCTTCACCTCCGACCCTTCTGTCTCCCTTCCCTGGGCCATTGCCACCTCTCTCTGAGTCTGAGGCAATGACTGTGCACCTGGGCTGGGCATCAGAATCACCAGGGGAGCTTTCTTAAAACCACAAAGGCTCAATCCCCACACCCTACCCATTCCAATTCTGTGAGATGTCGAGTGGACCCTGGGCATCTGTACAGTGAGAAAGCAGCATGGGCGATTCAGATGTGCAGCCAGGATTGAGAACCATTGGCTTGAGTAGTGCAGGTTAGGTGTGCTGTGCTTGTTCACAAAGAAACGTTTCCAATTGTGTATCTAATACAGCATCTTGTTGGCCTTCGTTGCCATGGTGATCTCTTCAGGGATGGTGACAGCAACTCCCACAGCCCTTTCTTGGTACTCCTATAGTCTGTGACTTTTAAAGTCCGGTTGGAATGCTTCTCTTCTAGGAGAGAGAGAGAGAGAGTGTGTGTGTGTGTGTGTGTGTGTGTTTTACACTTGTGTCCAGGGATATTCTCTTCTGCTTGGCATTTTGCTATTGATATATTCCTAATTCATTAATCATCCTATCCCTGAAGTTACTCTGCATCATAGATGGATGTCAGGATTTGAATGCAGAGTTTTGTGTCTGGAAAAGGTAAAGAATGGGCGGGGGTGAGTAAAGTGTATTTGAGCTATAGGATATCTTGGATTCCAGATCCCAGTGTTTAAAGATAACCACGTACATATAAATCCTTGCTGGCCTGTGGACATGGTATAAAGCAGTGTTCTCAGCTTTGGCCCTACTGACATTTTGAGCCAGATAATTCTGTTGTGAGGGCTGTCCTATGCATTGTAGGATGTTAGCAGCGTAGCACTGTCCCTAACTCTACCCACTGTATCCCAGCAGCACACACCCTCCCCTGCACCCCTACCCCAGGGGTCATGATAACTAAAAATGTCCTCAGACATTGCAGCATGTCCCGGGCAGGGGGTGAGGAGAACCACCCCTGGGGTAAGACCCACTGGTGTAAAGTAATGGCAGGGCACAGGCTTTGCCATGCAGAGAACTGGGTTTGTGTTTTGACTCTGTCATGTACTCTCTGAATGACTATGAGCAAATTTCTTAATGCCTTTGAGCCTCGGTTTCCTCACCAGTGAAATGAGAATCATGATAATCATGGGTATTTCATGGCTGCTGTGAGCACTGGATGAGTTAATGCGTATGAATTATTTAATACCTGTCTGCACACACAGTAATAAACAGTCAGTAAATGGTAGCTGTTTTTTACTACGGTGGACTCATCGTGGACTGGTTTGGCATTAAGTGTTCAGGAGAGAGAGAGCACAAGAAATGATTATGCATAGTGCAGGTGAATCTAGCCCACTGATGAGATGGCCCCGGGGTGAGCCATGATGGGAAGCCGCCTGGAGCTGAGCTGTCAGCCCTCCTGGGTTCTGTCTTGCCTTTCACATGATAACCTCGCCCAGGGTTCTCAGCCTTGACACTATAGACGTTTGTGGCCAGGTAATTCTTCGGCATGTGTACTGCCCCGTGCCTTGTAGGATGTTGATCAGCTTCTCTGATCTCTTCCCTCTAGATGCCAACAGCACCCTCCTCCCTCCCCCAGTCATGACAACCAAGAATGTCTGCATGGGGCGCCTGGGTGACTCAGATGGTTAAGCGTCTGCCTTCGGCTCAGGGCATGATCCCAGGGTCCTGGGATCCAGCCCCACATCGGGCTCCTGGCTCAGCGGGGAGCCTGCTTCTCCCTCTCCCTCTGCCTCTCCCCCTGCTCATGCTCTCTCTCTGTATCTCTGTGTCTCAAATGAATAAATAAAATCTTTAAAAAATAAAAA